GGAAATGTATGCAAAACCAGGCAGAACATATACTTTATTTATTGATTATAAAATATACATCAGCTGGAGGTTCTGAGCTGGTCAGGCTGGTTTCTGCTGTGTGCGACTGACTGGTTTGGTGGAAGGAGCCTGACCTGCCAGTGCCAATGGGGACTGGAGTTTAATGGCAGAAGTGCTCTCGGCCCCAGTTTGGGAAGCTGGAGCACCTTTCCCTGGGCTCACAGCTGGTGCCACGTCCCCATCTCTCCCCAGGCTCCCCATGCCATGGCCAGGTGCATGGGCAGGTTCCTTGCTGGCCAGGAGGATGGACAGGGTAGGACTGCTTCAAACTGCGGCAAGGCAGGAGAGAAATTAGTGGAGCTTTTCAATGAAAAATCAACATACATGTGAAGCAAAGGACCGTTAGTTCTGCTTCATCATCTCTGGTTTGTGGCAGTAGCTGTAGCCCCTTTCAGGAGCACTGGGGCTTTTTGCAAGTCTGGGATTTACTGCTTTGCAAGGGAGAAGGCAATGATCCTTGCTTCTCCGTGGGAGAAGGAGGGAGTGTGCTTCCAAGGGCTGATGGGGACCCCTTTGGCAGGGCAGTCCTGCACCCAGACCCTTCCTGGCCAGCAGCTCTGGTGCTGGCCCCTGGCCTGGTGGCTGTGGGGTTCCCACTCTGAGCAAGCAGCACCCCCATCTGCGGGACACCTTTTGGGGAGGCACTGGGCTCCCACGGGGCAGCCCCAGCACTGCTCCTGGTGTGCCTTGGGCTGGCAAGAGAAGCCCGGCTAAGGTGTACGTGTGTGGTTGGGGATGAAATCCACCCATGGATCAGTTTGACGTGCAATGCATATTAGATCCCTGTGGAGGGTAAAAAGTAGCAGAAGAAATCTCATAAACAGTTGGAAAATTGGTGCCTTACTCCCCAGTCATTGTGCAGTATGAGGGCAGCTGCTCCAGCCTTCACCCCCTCCCCGATTAGGTAGAAAGGACTGACTCCTCTGGCAGCCGTTGCCTTATAAGCCCCATTCGTCAGTGTAGCTCCTCTGATTGCAGCTCCCCCAGCAATCCGGGTTCCCCATCAGCAGCAGCACCAGCCGGAGCATAGAGGCTCTGATAAGGGGCCATTAACGATGAATAATGCCAGCAAAATGACATGCAAGTCACCTTTCATCCCCCCCAGGTCCAGCCGCAGTGTGCCGTATCGCTCTGGTCCCCAGCAGCCTCTTGTTTGGCATCATGTGTGGTCTCACGTGTGATGAAGGGCAGCGGCCGGCTGGCTCCAGCCGTGGCCACCAAGTCCCAACATGCAGGGAAGCCGGGAAGGGGGAGAGCAGGTCCCTTCGTCCACGGGCGAGGTGGAGCTCTGCCGAGACTGGAGGTGCTGGTGGGGTGCAGTGAGGCCGTCAGCTGGTGCCTCTGCAGCCAGGTTTTTTCCTCGGCTCCTGGCTGCTGCCCAGGGTGGGGGAGGACGGGCTCATCCCCGGGGTCCAGAGGGACGGGAGAGGGCACGGCTGTGGGTGCACCACCGCTCGCTCCGCTCTGTGCGGTGTTTCTCTCCCAGGCAGTGCCCCTGCTTCAGCAGAGCCACATGAGCAGGCGGGTCATGACTTTTCTCAATAAATACATTCTCCCCCTTTTTTCCCCCCTTTTCTGCTCAGAGGGAACAAAAAGCCAGCAACGCTCGGCAGTTCATCCTCAGTGAGGATATAAAGCTCAGAGCAGTTACTGTATTAAAAGGGAAATGCTTCTTGCATTTACATTTAGATTGAAACAACGTGTGTCAAAGGTGTCTGATAGCTCCCTGGGATAGCAGTGGCCTGATGCTGGGACCATTCTTGTCAGTTTGCATTATGAAGATAGTTTTTTTGCATTTGAAATTTAATTATATTGACAGAATTATTCCCTTCCTTCAGATGATTGCATGGTACAGAGTAAAACATAAAGTGCTTCTGTGCACAAGATCCGGGATCGAGTGCTGGGATGCGTGGGACGTGGGGTTCACAGCCTCCTCCCCACCGCAGCACTGTCACTGCGAGCACAGGGCTGATCGATGTAGCTGCTCTGTGGCTCTGTAAGCACTGATTTTGCACTGATTTGAGCCCAAAATGCTGAGCAGCACATTTACTCGGAGCATTTTCCCTTGCTCTGCCCCTGGCCCGGCCACAGCTCTGCCGGCCTCCTCCTCTTTCTCTTCCTCACTGGCTGCAGCATCCTTGGGAGCTGTGGATGGGCTGAGCCCAAGCTGAAAGGCAGGGCACAGAAATTGAGCAGTACCGTTTCTCTTCCCCACATCTTGCTGCAGATTTATATCACCAGAATTCACTTTACAGCAACGCCTGAGCCCCGAGAGCTAAAATTCACTTTCTGCATAGGCTCGTGCAAGTCAGTTGGCAGAGAGCGAGCGTGGAGCAGCCACAGATTATTCTCTGAATGTGACTGCCGCTTTCCTCTGCATTCAATCAGCCTGGGTACCTTGGGGCGATGGCGGTGGTGATAGTACCTCTGCTGGAAGGAGCCTGTTTTAACAACATCATTGTGCTTGAGCAGTGTCAACTCTCATTAAGAAACAGGTATTTTCAGGCTTACGTTCAAATTGCCGCTTGGGTGGCGTGTGGGCAGGGGACCCCAAGGTCACCCACAGTGTGTAAAGCCCATGGCCGTGCAGTCCGCAAAATCACCCTGGTGCCCTGCGCAGCCCCCTCCAGAGGCCGCTGGCTCCTGCCTGCCACACAGAGTGGGTGCCACAGACCGTGGGTTGCCCAAGGACTGGGGCATCCCCGTGGGGAGCCAGGCTGGAGCCCCAGCTCAGCAGCATCAGCCCCGTGGTGGTCCCATTGCTTTCAGCACACCCACAGCGGTCATGCAGAAGGCAGCGGGGCCGGGGGGACCCCACCAGCTGTGGGGAACCCACCAGGCACTGGGAAACGCTGTTTGCTGCTCTCGCAGCTGCACCCAGGAGATTTCATTTGTCAGTGGCCAGAGGAAGGGGGGCCAGGGGGCCAGGAGGGGTGCACGCCACTGTGTGCCTGGCTGCCTCCCTGCCAGTCACTGTCAGGTTAATAATAACAGAACAGAGGAAAGGAATTAAATGCAGCCACTGAACTATATTTAATTTGCGCCGTATCCTGGAGCCGAGGAACTGGTTCGGTAGAGACTCTTATCAGGCTGTTTGAAGGGTTGAGCTCTTTATCTGGCAGTTGTTTTACTGCCTGGTCTTGCAGTTGTATATAGCTGAATACAGGCACGTAGCCAGCCAAAGCTTGGGGTTTGCTCCCCTTGGGCTTTTCTCCTCTCGGAGGTCAGCGTTTCACTGTGTGCCCCTTCCTGAGCCCTTTGTGGGGCTGGCCCCGGCGTGGGGAGCATCTCCGTTGCCTGGGCAGTAGGCCATCCCCATGTGAGCACTCGGAGCACTCCACAACAAAACAGGTCCTTTCCACCCTCCCCATTTGCCCGAGCTGGGAGGAAGGCAAAGGGCTCAGAAGCGCTGAGTTTCAGAAAGCTTCTTGGCAGCATTCGGGTTTTCACCAATACCAGCGCATTTCCAGAAGCAGCTGTGATGCTGTGCAGCCCGAGCCGGGATATTTCTTTGCATGTTTTTATGAACTGAAATGCTCTTCCCCTCAGGCCCGCGCACCCGGTGATCCCAGGGCTTTCATTATTTACTCTGACAGTCTGCCGGCTCCTGCGCTGCGGCCTGTCGCAGCCCGCGCTGCAAATCATCTCTCACCTTGTCACCACCGAGATGGCAATTTTACAGCTGGCAGCCTCAATCACGGTGAATTTGCAGCTCGCGCTCACTCTCCTCCTCTCTCTGCCGTGTGATGGTTTAGAAAACAGCACAATGATTTCCTTCCTAGCTGAAAGGACTTGGAATCCGATGAGCGTGGTGGTGCTCAACCGCAGCGGGCGGGCAGCGTCGGGTCGGCATCCTCGGCGCACCGCGAGGCTGCCTGTCCGTGGGTGATGCTGGGTCCACGGAGCCGCTCATCCAGCCTTTTGTCCCGGTAGTTGAAGTTATGAATCGAGTTTCTGGTTTTTCTTATCAGCTCCAGCGGTTCTGAAAAGGGCTTTGCTTCCAAGCAGGTGCATGGTGGGTGCGAGTAGAGGAGCAGCCCCGAAAGGCCCAGGAGCATCCCCATGGTCTGTGCCCTGCTCTGTCCCCGGCAGGGACATGGTGTGCTCACACCAGGTGCTTTTACATGTTCCACAGAGGGTGTGTGTGGGGGGGGTTTAATGTTTAATATCAGATTTACTCATTTGGTATATTGCCATAACATTTTGATTTAGCAGAGCGATACAGCAGTCTACTGAAATCGCAGCACGGGCACAATACAGCAACTGCGAGATATGCCCGAGTCAGTACACAGTCGCGATGCCCGTCCCCGGTCTCCATACCCTCACCACCATGGCGCTGGGCATCCCCAGCTGTCAGGCAGGGAGGTGTGGGTTGAAGCCAGCTCAAGCCCATTTCTCTCTTCAAAGTTTGTTTTATTACTTGTCCAGGTTTTATTCTCTATGTTGGGCTAAGCCACATATATGCTTCCTCCACGCTGGTCCGGCTGGCTCAGGAAGATATTACTCTCTACTAATTATCTCTGGGAAGGCTGTTCGTACAACCTGATGATGCCCCGGTGCAGCCATGTGCCTAAAACCAAGGTCACCCTCCCCTCCCCGGAGTTAAGTTCAGTTTCCGCATGGGAATCGCTGGTGGCTCCTTACGTTCCGCCCTGTACTCGGGATTTTTGGCTCATCTCCTCTGACACTTTTTCCACTGTGGGAGGTATCGGTCGGTCCCAGAGGGGTTCAGCTTCATTTCCTTCTTTTCCTGTGTAAGGTGAAGTTAGCATTTTACAATCCATTGCACGTGCAGCAGGGTGCAGCAGCAGGTAGCAAGCCCTGGCAGGGCACAGGGAGCACTGGGGTGGGGGGAGCTTTAGCAGACTCCTCGCTCGCCTGCTCCGCAGTTCGGGGTGCCGTGTCGGGGTGCAGGCGCTGACCCGGTGCCATCCACGCAGGAGCAGCAGCTGGCGGAGCTGGCGGCGGTGCGGCAGGTCTTGCAGGCTGACCTGGGGACCTCCATCCGGCGCATCGCCGATCTGCAGGTGGCCCTGGAGGAGCTGCGGTCCAGCGACGAGAGCGATGCCGAGAGGTGAGGCGAGGAGCGCCGGGGGCTGCGGGGGGCTGTGGGGGCTGCAGAGGGGCAGGCTCAGGTGCTTTGTAGTGGGGAAAGATGCTGCACTGTGCAAGGACGATGCCAGGGTGGCTGTAGCTGCACGTCTGCATCCTCACACGTTTTCGCTGCAGCAGCACATGTTTGTGAACAAGGAACTTCATGTTAATGGAAGGTTTCATGAAAAAGTGTCACCCTTAAAATCGCACTGTGTGGTCTAGCTTAAAGTAAGCAAAAAGGGTGGAAATAGCCCCATTCACAGAGCAAGCTTCCGTCCCTCGCAGCATGGTGTGCTGCTGTGCGTCAGCGGGTGCCCCAGCGCTGGGTTTATTGATTGAAAATCCTGCACTTTGATCAGCCATGGGGGCTGGAGGAACCAGTAACACTGTGTGGATTGGGTAGAGGATTTTACTAGAAAAAAATGGGAAAAAAAATCCAGTGAATTTTTCAGGTGTTATTTCTACAGCCCTCCAATTTTCCCCTCTGCTACACTGCTAAAGGGGCATTGTGACAAATGGAGACAAAATAGATAAATGCATTTAAAAAAAAAAAAGCAGAGATGTTCTTGTCACCATGCCGTGAGAAGAGATTTTCTTTAAGTAGTGATTAAACCAGGGCAGGGTGAGATAGAAACCATGAGCTCAGAAATTCGCTCCTTCGTAAAACAAAAGTGATTTCCAATACAATTGACGCCTTAGCGGGAGGTGAGAACTGCTTCCCTGCAGGGACGTCCACAGCTGCTGTGTGCAGGAAAAGTGGTGTATTTTGCTCCCTGCCCTTTGCCAGCGCAGGCACCCCAGAGGTGTTCTGCGAGTGTAAATGCAACAGACACTGCAGCAGCACCCACCTCTGTGATGGGGGTGCGTGTACTCCGGTCCCTTTTGCAGCCCAGGGCCTGACTGGTGCAGGGAGCAGGTGAGGAGGACTTTAGCCATGCAGCATGCTGGGAACAGCCCCACTGCTGCCACGGCTGCACCTCTGCTCGGGCCATCGGAGGGATTATGTTAGCTGGGAAGGTTTTTTTTCTTGCGTGGTGGCTTTGAGGAGGCTGCATGAGCCATCGGCAGCGCCGCAGCTGACTCTCTCTTTTTGTCCCTTGCAGCGTGCAGACGGCGCGGGAGTCGCTCTGCTCCAGGAGAGAGACGTGAGTGAGCCCTGGGGAGCTGCCGGCCGAAGGGCAGGAACCTGCATCTGGTTGTGTGATGGGTTATCGACCAGCAGCTGCCTGCAGCCTGCCGAGGGCAGCGCGCAGATGGGCTTTTGGATGTGCTGGCTTTGTGTGCCCCTGCGCCCATCGAGCCGCTCGCTTTCCCTTTGAGCTCTGGCTGTTAAATCAGTGGGATGCTCTCACTCCTCCAGGCTACACTTTGAGAATATGAAGCTGATCTGTGGCTTTGAAGGAGAACTGAGATCCTAGAGGATTTCATCCACTGCAGCTGGTCTGGGGGTTCCCGGCAGGTGGCAGGGGTAGCTCTGGCCCCGGGGGAGCCCAGGGACGCGTGGGGCACAGTGGGGTACCTGGGATCACACTGGCTCTGTCACTGCAGCTCCAGTCCTGGGGCACGGCAGGCAGCAGCCCTGGGCAGATGTTTTCCTGCCCACCGGCTACAGAGCACTTACAAAAGCATGAGGGAAATAGTTAATGGCAGCAGCGATGGCACAAGGACCAGGTTGCCTGGACAGGTTTGTTTTATCCAATCTGTGCTGGTGCCATAAAACAGCCAGAGCAGAGCCCACCAGCTGGAGCTGCCATTGCTGGAGCTGTGAAGGAGCCCCTGGTCTGTGCCCAGCCTCACCCTCACACGTGCTCCAGGACACCTTCCCAGTGCCGCCGGCCCTCCTGCCTGCGCTTGGGGAGCTAACGGGGTCTCTCCTCTCCCTACAGGGATGCCTGCTCCAGCATCGGCTCCACGCTGAGTCTGGAGCCCGCAGAGAGCATCAAGTCCTGGCCGAGTTCATCCGTGGGCTGGTCCTCCCCGGCGGGTGCCAGCGTGGCCGGGAGCCTCTCGGCACAGTCCGTCGGCAGCCGCAGCACCCAGGGCCCAAGGTAAGGGGCCCCAGCCCGTCCCGGGCATGGCTGCCTCTGGCAGTGACAGACATGCGGCTGCTCCCCTGGCACGGGGAGCTGCCACAGCTTTCCTCCAGGAAAACCACAGGTGCTTGGTGCCAGCTCCAGCATCTTGCAGATACACAGAGGGTAGAAAAATATCTTGCAGGACCAAGCCATCACAAAGGTATTTAAAACCCGCCTGTATTTTTATTTTAAAAAAGTGCAAGAGGCAGGAGTAGGCTGCAGGCAGTGCTGGTTTCCTAGCATTCAGGTGCAGAAAAGTGGCAGCGGGCACCCTGGCCCATCAGGGTGGCAAGGACAGCAGGCAGAGCTGTCAGCCCTGGCAGCGGCTCTCCCATCGCAAGGGTCTGCATGGGCAGACACTGCAGCCCGGAGGCGGGTGCTGCCTGCTCTCCTGGCCGCTGCCTGCTGGCTGCCAGGGGCTGTGGCTGCTCGTGGCCCCTCAAATGGGGGAACACAATGTGGAGGGTGGACCCCATAACTCCCTCAGCAGAGCTGAGCATCCCAAACTGCTGCATGTCCTCACAGGCTTCCACATGCTCTCTTTGGCTTTTACTTTCCCATGGGAAAAATAAAGTCACCCCTTACGGGTGACCGATCCCACGGCACAGCGAGGAGCACCGCAGTGGCACTGCTGCAATGCCTGCAGCTGCTTGGGGACAGGGAAGCCCCTGCGGTTCTTCGGGGGGTGCTGCAGAAGCTGGCCCGGGGACAGCGGGCGCTTCAGCTCTGCTCCTTTCAGGACGTGCAGAAAGGAGTTCGGGGGGACTCATGGTATTTAAGGTCAAAACGTCAAATCAAGGAAAGTAGTCGTTGCCACGCCAGGATCAGTGAAACGCTAGATGAAAGTCTCTACATCAAAAACATGCTTCAAGCAGTATAATATCCCTTGATGTATTCTCTAGAGATAATTTAAAGAGGCGATGCAGCCTATTTGCGGATTTGTATGCCATATGCTCGCCTTTTGCTGCTGAGGAAACAGTATGCATTTATACAGTTCTAATATAAAATATGTTAATTTTTGACGGTAATGCTAATGGGCTGTGAGGGAGTTGGAGAGTGGCCCAAGCACTCGCATGGCCAAACTGCCTCGGCTCGACTCCCGTGGAGCTGCCCTAAGGTGCTCAGCAGCAGGGCTGCCCGGGGCTCGGAGGGTGCCCAGGCGCCCAGCCGGAATTGGAGCTGCCTCACCGGGAAACCCTCCAGCCCAGAGACAAACCCCCTGTTTTCCAGCCATCCCTGGCACCTCAGGGTCACCGACAAACCAGTTCTTTGTGTTTCATGTGTGAAGCAATTGCATGGGTTGAGTTTTGAAAAGCCCTGTAAATCAGGGTCTGGTGGCTGCATCTCAGAAGGGAGGTTGTGGGGACAGGGAAGGGCATCGCGTCTCCTCCGAGGCTTCGGAGAGCAGAGATGGAGCAGAGGTGGGAGCTTTGGGTCCTGGGGCTGGGAGCAGCGCAGGGCCAAAGTGGCTCCAGAGAGCATCATCCCCACGTAGGGAAGGTGGTTTCTCTATTTTGCATGCAGAGATCTGCAGAACGATAGCTTTGTAACAAACAAAAGCATCCTTTTTTGCATAACGCATGATCTGTAGCGTCGATTGCCATGGGTTGCTGGTGGCAGGCAGCAGGGCACACGGGTGGAAGGACTGACCAGCCGAATTCAGGGTGGGCAGGGCTGGCAGTAGCCTTGCCTGCAGCCCTGGTGGGACCCCTGCATGCAGCTCCTGACTCGGGGCCTCCCCGCCGCACTGCTTTCCCAGGGATGGTGTATCGGGACATGCATCGCTATTTTCCCAGCTTTTCCCCCCATTCCTTCCAGAAGCAGGGCAGGGGCCAGGCTGATGCTCGGCACAGCTTGCTGCGGCACCCGCCGGCTCCCTGTTCATATGCAGGTCCATAGAGAGATGCTCTGAGCCGATAGAGTTTGATAGGGTTTGCAGACTGCCATCACATTGCAGACATTGGTATTAAGCTCCCTGCTCTGATTCTGGCGAGATCTGTCCCCACTGCATTCACCTGCTTTGTACAGTAAAATAACTATTGCCAGAATTAATTTTCTGAAGAGCAAGTCCCCTGGCAGCAGACACCTCGGGTATGTCGGAGAAGTTTGAAGTGGTCCATTGCTGATACAAGGCAGAGTTTAAGAGCAGCTGGGGCAGGGCTGGGACCTGCAGGGATGTGATGGATGGGACCCTGGCTGAGCTCACTGGGACCCCGCGTCCCACCCCAGCACGCATCAGTAAAGTAATTCCTAAGTACTGCTTAGGAGTCTTTGGTCCACATGACCCAACTCGGATGATAAATGAATGGTAGCAAATCAGGAGTTATGGCTAATATCCTATTTCTGAGCTGAAATACACTGGATTTATAATAAAAGGGCAGGTATGTAGGCTGGACTGACCATGGCCATTGTGAGAGGTAATTTGTACCTAGACCTGGAAATAGTGTGACAGTCTGCCTCCGTCTTGGGGGTCATGAAGAGGCAAATTGCAAATCTTGGTGTCGTAGCTGTGTTTGGCTTCAGCTAATCTAAGATGGAAATATTAGAGAGGAGGCTATATGAAATGCAAACAAACAGACGATGAGACTCGTAAGGTAATAAAAATGAGATCAGCGAAATGAGCTCTTCCTTATTAAGATTCCTTTGTCTTACACAAGCACCCAGTAATGAAAAATGAATCTTCCTAGCATTCGCTTCTCAGCACTACATATGGGATATTTGCTGAACAAACAGCTGCCAAAAGCCAGAGGAAAGCATAGAAGGCTGTTACCGTCAGTGGTGTACAGGAATGAGAGATTTGATTAACGTTTCCTTTAATTCTTTGCTATTTAAATGCTTGTACAAAATGTTGGCCATCAGGGCTAAGCCTCAATAAATACAGCACATTGCAGAGCTGGAATAAACTATCAGGTTTTTTCTTAGGAAGCCATTTCAAAACTTTACGTATTTACTCTGTCCCTTGCCAGGCAGGTTGGGGCTGCATTGCGATGGAGGGGCTGATCCTGAGGTGCAGGCAGGGAACAGACCTGCAGCACAGGACCCTGCCTCTCGGTTCCTGCATCCCATGGCACTGCGGCATCCGCAGCCCCAGCATCACCCTGGCATCCTTTCCCCTTCTGCTTTGGTTCACAAAATCAGGAGCCCAGGTCCCAAGGCTGGTGGGGATCCGACACATTTATTTTTAAACATTATCGTGTCAAAAGCAAATCATTATATGGGAAACTGGGAGCTCTTCTGTAGATGACGGCGTGACAAGAAAATCCTCTTCTGACAGAAATTAGGCCAGTATCTTTTCTCTCCCTGAAATGGAGTTTTCTTGGCTTTATTTATGAGCTACCAGGAAAAGCGTCAGAGCCACACTTTCATCCCTGGTCATGTGTTGCAATGCATGTGTGGATTTTATTGTATAAATTATTTCAACTAGCATAATTGTAATCATGTTAATTGCTATGTAATCTTCACTAATTATTGTTGTATGTCATTTGCTTTGGTGTGAATGGCATATTGCAGAACTCCGTATTGGCCTACAGATGCCTTCCGAGTTCTGCGTCAGGCCCTGCTTTTGCCTTTGGCTGGGGAAAATCATCTTCTCTGATACTGAGGCAAGGAGCGGAGTTTTGCTCGGCGGCTGTTGCGTGCTCGCGGTCCTGTCGCCTGCAGCATCACCCACCACCGGGGCTGCCCAGGGCTCTCGAGGGTTATTCCAAGCCCTCGGAGTTATTGCCGGCACATCAGCCCTTAGCCTGCGATTTATGGACGAGCAGAGGATGTTGCAGGATGGGACGGGACCACCTCATGCTTGTGCCCTGCCTTGTGAGGAGGCTTGAGTATGGCCTAGAGAAGATTAGCCATGATTTTGGGGTGGGGTTTTTTTGGTAGCCATCAAGGTACAGTTAAAGGAACAAATGATGAGGACGGGGTGCTGGTGCAGCGGTGTGGGGCGCAGCCGCAGTGGCACAGCTTGACTGGTGACAGGGGATGGCAGCCCAGGGTCCCCAGCCACGGCAGCCTGGCAGGATGCGGCAGCACCAGCTCCAGCCTCTGGGCTTGGTCCGTCAGAAACCTGTTGCATGGGAGAAATTACCTTGTGGTCCTCAGGCTCCTTTTGCCGCAAGTAATTAATTGAAATGGAGGTGTGATTTCAGTGCACCCGAGGCACAGGAGCAGGGGCTGCTGCCCTCGCACGCGCTGGGGCACGCCGTGGCGGTGGCTGGTGCCGGGGTAGGCGACAGCTCAGAGCTGCCGTGGGAGGGTCTCCAGAGGTGGACAAAGCATGTTTTGACTTCCTAGGAGGGGAAGCAGTAATGGGTTTTGCTGGGAGGACCTGAGCATTTTAGATGCTGGAAAGCAAGAGGAAAAGCATCAAAAGCAGAGAAATGCCTGCGGTGTTTCCCCACCGCGCGGTGCCTTTTTGCTGCTAGTGTAATCCCCACGGAGCTTTTGCATTTTCATTTAAAATCCAATCAAGCCCCGCACGTGCTCGCCAGGCAGCTGATGCTACTCGGAGTTAACTCACCACGATCCTGGCACCAACCTGCCGGCATGGCACTCACCAACCACGGGCCGATGAGCCGTGTCCGGAGAGATGTGGCTTCCCTGGGGGAACCAGCCCTTTCCCTGGTGTGTGCGGTTGGGTTTTGCTTAATGAATGCAATTAATAGGAACTGTTAGGATGGATGGAGTGGTCTTGAGCTTCAAATCTTCTGCTGAAAACCAGGGCATGGAGAGCATGGGCAGGAGATGATCCATTACACAGAGGTCCCTGCTTGGACCCTGGGGGCTGCGGGGCCTCAGCAGCCGGACTTGTACTAGCCATGGGAGCTGGAGGAACAATCCCGTGTTTGCAGCTTTCACTCCATTTCAGGCTCTAAAGATTTTCATAAAAATAGTAACTGTCCGTCATGCTGAACAGGACAATAAAGAGCAGCGTGTAAACTGTCCATGTTCACGGTCCATTAGTGTTTCTTACCTCTCCAGCTCACTTTTATCTCAGTCTTAAAAACCAAAGAAAAATATTGAAGCTGGCTGTTTAATTTATGAAAGCTGGTCATGCAGCAGTCAGTTTACAATATTATTTGGAAACGTAGAGAGTGATTGGAGCAATTTCCGTACAAATTCTCATGGAAGGATTACAGCAGCTATTTAGGTAAGATGCAATTTAGGATCTTAAAAACCAGCATTATCGAAATGTCTCAAACTATTAATCAGCTGTGATGCTTCAGCAACATCAGGTGCAGTGGCACCGGGTAGCCCTGGAGGTTGCTGCGTTTCAGGGAGACTAAATCTCTGGTTAATTCATTTTGCATTGAATAATCAAACGTTTTGGGCTTGTTTTATGAGCTGCGGGCACGTGGCATGGCAGCGAGCACCAGGGCCTGGCAGGCACCCCTGTGCCCTGGGCTGTGCCGGCAGGCACTGGGGACCTACAGCTGCTCCATTACCCCATTACTTCCGCAACCGCTTGCATTTGCCAGCCGTGGAGTTTGTCTTCAGCCCATCTTGGCATGTAAATTATTTCACGGGTCAGCAGAGCCTGGTCCGAACGGGTCCCACGCGGTGGCTGGATGATGCGCTCTCACCCTGTTCCCATGGCAACCCCAGCATTCCCGGGGCAGGATGCTTCATTACCGGTGATGTAAAACTTGACCACTGCTCCCACACCTCGAAGCCTGCTGGCCTCCCAGAGATGTATTTATATTTAGGATCTGCTGCTTTATTCTACCCTTTGCTCTCTTTTTCCCTCCTCCTTTCTTTCTCAGACAAATTCACATCCTGGCAGCCTTCACATTAAGGCCAATTCCAGGTCCCCCTTGGCTGAGCAATGCCGGAGGTATCTGCGAGTGGGGATAATCCACTGGTGATGCTGGCAGCTGCCAGCACTGGGTGCAGCCTTTGTCAAAATGCATTGCTCGCAGGCGCCTACGCTCCCCATCTCACCTGCAAGCGGCTGCGCGCGAGCAGCCTATAGATAGTAACTGGCTATCATTGATCTAAAGTGATGTACTGAGGAGAGACACGGCGCAGCTCTGCTGAGCGCCTGCTTTGTTTCAGCCGTGTCCCGGCAGAGAGGCCCTTTGCTTTTCCCTACAGTGGGACAGGCAGAAAATCCAGTTTTTCAGCCCTTCAAACCAATGGAGGTGCTTGGGGGGTGGGGGGTAAAGTGTCACATCGGGGGCTTAGTGCCACCAGTGACGCCGAGCCCACTGGTGATTGCAGCCCCTCCCCATCTCCGTGCATCAGCTGCACAAGGAAGCGGCCAGGCTTGGTGCAGAGAAGCCCTTTCTGCAGCCTGCATGTGCCAGGGTCCGGCCGCTTGAGAGGGGCTTTGGCAGCTGAACGTGCACAGCATCAGCATCCCGTGGTGCCCAAGGAGATGCTCCCAAGCTCATGTCCTAGCAGAGCGGGTGCTCGGTGCCATCAAATGCTTTGGGGAGGGACAGGCAGGGTTTGGGGGAAAGCAGGACCATTCCCTGCTCCTGCTGTGCTGCCACCGTGTCCTTGTCCTGCTCAGCGAGTGGCCACTGCAGGGGTGGGTATGGTGTCACCACAGTGTTCCCAGAGCAGCTCTTGCAGCCCTGTGGTGAGGAGCAGGCGTTAAATCAGGAAAACCAGCTGGCCGGCAAGGCTCCTCCTGGGCATCATCTCCTGGCAGGCTGGCACCATGTGCTGGTCCCAGCAACAGACCTGCTGTGTGCTGCTCTGCTCTCAGCACAGAGGGTCATGCCATATTATTATTATTATTATTATTATTATTATTATTATTATTATTATTATCCTTTCTGCTGCCTCACATATGCACTCTGCACAAGCTGCAATCCTGGTAGCAAGAGCAACGTGCTGCCTCTGCTGAGCTGATGCCGTTCCAAATCTGGCACCGTGTTCTGGCTAAACCAACCCTGCAGACTGTCCATCAGCCTGCCGGGTGAGGGCTGCATTTTCTGGGGATGGTGTTCTGCTGTGACAGTGACCGGTGTGGCTCCTCTTCAGTGAGCAGAGGTGGAGCCCACATGGTTTCTGCATCAGTTCCTTGTTTGCAGGGTGAGATCCCATCCACACATCACTTCTGTCAGTCACTCTTCAACGAGCAGCCCCCAGCCAGGTGTTATTTGGCTCTTGCAGTTCACAATCATTCCCCCCCCCTGCCAGCAGCAGCCTGGGCAATAACGTTAAGATGCATTTGGGGTGCTCTGCGAACTGGTTTCATAAAATTTTAGTGAATAATCTTTGGCTTTGACAGAAATAAAATAAATCCTACTTATTGCTATAATCTGTCAAGAAGAAAGGACATTTGGAGGTATGTGTTGGTTTGGCAGAGCTAAAGTCACCCTACACCATGGATTTAGCCAGGTTGGCTGACCTAGAGTTATTTAAGACAAAATCTTTGGGCATTGCCCAACTGCTCAGTGCAGCAGCAGGAGTTTATTCTGAGAATACCATGCCAATACCGGCTTTTCGCTGCTCAGCCTTGTCATTGCCGACTGACATTACAGTCACTGGAAATCCCGCAGCTTAAACTAACACCAATATCTCTTGTTTAGGGTGAGCAGAGACACAAAGGAGCCAGCACCGAGCCGGCCAGCTTCTTCCCAGAGCACTGCCAGGTCTGTCGATGCTGCGGATCTGGGGAGGATGGCAAGTCCCTTGCTCGGTGCTAGAAGACGGGCATACGGAAAACTCCCGGCAGACGAAGAGGAGCTGGAAAGCCCAAAAAAGCCTGCGGGTAGGATAGGAGAGACGTCCCCGTCGGTGCTGCGGCGGGGGGGCTCCCCCGCCCCGGACCGGAGGTTCCCCAGCCCACTGTCTCCGACGGTGCCGAGGAGGAGGGGGGTCTCTCCGTCAGCAGGGCCCGTGCCCAGCTCCTCGGCCGCCCTCTCCGAGTACGTGGAGGAGCTGCGGCGGCAGCGGGTAGCGGAGCGGGAGCAAGGGCACCCGGTGCTGGGTGACACCTCTCCCCTCCCTATTTACCGCACCACCGGTGCCGCAGCCCTGCGTCGTTGCAGGGCTTTCCCGGTGGCGGAGGATTCCCTGGGGAAGCTGGAGGGGAATCTGCCAGGGGAAGGGGAAGCAGCAGGCGCCAGCCTCATGCGCTCCTCCAGCCTGCGAAGCATGGCCTCGGAGCCAGCCGAGCCGGCACGCTCTCCAGTGCTGAAAAGAGCATCAAAGTTTGGCTCCTACGATTCCCTCCTGCAAACCCTCGATGGCTCCGGCCGCTGGCCGAGCTATTCGGCCGCAGGGATGGAGGTGCTGGGCGTGCCGCGGCCGAGCTCCTGGAGAAGGTACCTGGAGCCGTCGGTGGAAGATGTGGAGGTGGGAAGGGGCTCTGGGGGGCTCCTGAGCTCACCATCCAGCGACGGGCTGGGCGAGGGGAAGGGGAGCGACCCCTTCAGCTGGCGAATACCCACCCTCAACTACGAGAGGAGAACCAATGTTGACTTCGACGACTTCCTCCCAGCCATTCGCAAATCTCGCTCCACCAGCAGCCTGGCCAAGCCCGGGAGGGACAGAAAGGATGGACACCGGCCCCTCACTGTCCGCTTCGAGGATGAGGCCATAGCGGGCAGCTCAGCATCCTCTGAGACGAAGGGCATGGTCAAGCGCAGCCCAGTCCCCCGGGAGGACCCCGGGGACCTCTCTGACTCCTCCTCATCCTCTGGCTCCCTCCTGTCCTCTCGGAGCGCTGACAGCATCAAGCGCCGGCCGCAGCCCCAGAGAGGGGACGGGGAGGGATGCAGCGGCAAAGCCAGCACCCAGAGCAGTGGGATGAGCCACCGGGCGGAGGCAGAAGGGAAGGAAGACGATGTCAACAGCATCATGAGGAAGTATCTGGGAAAAGACTAAGGTACCCATGCTGAGCCACTGACCAGCACCAGCTCAGAGCAGTGGTGGCAGGTTTGCGGTGCTGGCCCCGGGCCGCTGGCCCTCCAGCCCATGCGGTCCCTGCACCGATGCCGTGGAGTGCGTGGGGACAGGGTGCCCCGGGGTGTGTGTGGCACATGGCACCGGCCGCCCCCTTGCCCTCTCCTTGCCCTCTTCAGAGCTGCAGGGGGGTGGGCAATGGGGACGCTGCCGGTGCTGGGGACAGCCCCAGGGCTGGCTACAACACCAGCTCTGAGTCTGCAGGGGGCCCCTGGCCTCCTGGTTTCCCAAAAATAGTGTCCCCCAGCTCCTACCAAGCCACCCGGCAGACACATCCTCCCGAGCCCTGCTGAGCGTTCCTCCTGGTGCCCATGCTTGTTCAGTTAATTTGCAAATCGCTTTGGCTGGACCCTGGAGGACATCCCCTCCAGAGGAGGGGGGTCCCACCTGGATCAGGCGTGCTTCCCCCAGTTAGCAACTGCCTCTGACAACCACTTGGATCCAACTTCTGTATTGCAACTGACACTTCAAGAATTAGGATTTATTACTACAATCCAGGTTTGAAAGCAAAGTCCCTAATGAATGCGCCACAACTGTAATTAAGTGTTTAAAATAGATTAGAAAAACATTTTGTAAAACCATTGCCTTTAGACTAACTTATTGGATGTCAAGCTGTGACCAAATTGACTAAGCCAACACTAGAAGGGAGCGCGTGTTAATAAAACATTTCTTTCCAGGAAGCACAATTTGCATAATGAAACGTCCCACTTTCTGCAGACTTTGTTTCAATAAACTGCAGCAACTGGCCTCAGCGCTGCACCAAGTGAGGAGCCGCGACCGGGCAATCTGCTTCCCCGCTTCTTTGGAAGAGTACCTGATAGGAAACACGTAATTTAAACAGAGACTGAAAGTGGCTCCCCAGAAGTCATGGAATGGTTTTACAGATGATGAGACCTTTTTTTGTTTTTAAACATACCATGGTTTCTTCACGCTCCTGCCCTGTTTCCTATCACCGCAGCTTTGCTCAGGGCCAGCCGTTGGGATGAGGGACTTTCTTATTCTCCTGCAGTCATTTGACTCAGGAGTTGGTGCTGTAATTAAAACCCAGTGGCTGCCATAGATGCCTGATAACATGCCATGCTGGCCAGGGGGAGGCCACGCTGTAAAGAGCTGGAGGAACACCAAACCCCCTTCTTTTTAACCCAGACGTCTCATCCCATGTAGCACTGCTCAAAAATCAGCCGAACAGGTGAAGGGTGCTTTTGGGTCTTGGTGTGGCAGCCAGCAACAGCAGAGCTCGGAAGCTTTTATAATTCCATAGATAACTGAAGACAGATCCATACGTGCTTTTACAGCTTCTGCCTGTTTGGGACGTCTGGGCACATCTCACTGACACGCAAGGCAGTGCTGCAGTGTGTGTGGTGATGGGAGGCTGTATTCGGATGTCTGCTTGGTTTTTACACAATAAAATTTTTGCTTCTTTGACAGGAGCCTCTTCTTGTCTTTTCTTTCCCCACAGCGAGAGCAGGTCTGTGGAAGCAGCGCGGTGCAGAGCTGAGCGCTCCTCCCACTAGCCCCCATGACTGGGGGCTTCTCACCCAAGACCCTCCAGCCTCCCCATCTCTCTGCACTCACAAAAATCTCTTTTTCTCAGCCTCAACCCTCTTTCCTAGAAGAAATCCAAGCTTCCTCATTTATCAGAGGTTTGTGGCAAAATTATACAGGTACATGAACAAATCTCTCCTTTCCATCAGTGATTTCTTAGTAATTTGCTCGACTGGGAAATTTGCACCAATTTGCACAACCTCGTTGGACCCTCTAGGGCAGCTGCAGCACAACGGTGGCTTGAAAAGGCAAATTGGGCAGTTTTCAGCATTTTGTTTTGCCTTTTGGATTCTTCACATTGATTTCTAATTTAAACCAAAGCCTTGCAGCAAGAGGCATTTTCCTTGGCACAGACAAATGCAAAACCTCCGGATGTGGGTTCACATCAGCAGTTTGCTCGGCTGCCCGTAGGCTGTCAGCAGTTCCCAGCAATTCCTCGCTCCCAGCCAGCACCGCGCTGCCGGCAGCCTGGCAGGCAGGAGGCAGTTCTGCACAAGGTGACATTCCCTGCGCTTCCAGGTCTCTCTTTTGCAACGTGCGACTCATGCCAGAAGACGGCAAATGAAGAAATTACCCTCTAATTAGTTTAAAATTGGTCTTGGTAATGATTCTGCTATTTCTGGGAAAAAAAAGCAATGCATTTTGTAGTTCTTGCATGTCTCAGCGCCACTGACCCAGCACACACCCGGCCATTCACCGCAGCCGGGTACATGAGTTTGGTGAGTGGTCGGATCCTGCCCCTTCCTGGCTGGCAAAGCTGCCGTTGGGCGCCCTGGCCGTGCCCGCAGCAACGCGGTGCTGGTGCTGGTGCTGGGGAGATAATGCGGCTCTTGAGGACCGGGCTGCGCGGGTGACCCCAATCTGTGCATCCCCGTGGGGCCGGGACATCCCATGCTTTGCCCTTGGCAGTGAGTCTTGCTCCCCAGATGGGTTTCATGCTCCTTTGGGCAGGGACTGGCATCTCCTGGGGCCAGATTCAGACCTCAACAGCGAGAAAAACTCCCCACACCAAGCCCCAGTGTGGGCCAGCCGTGGGGACGAACTGTCCTTCACCCAAACCTTCCCTGCCCCGTCACAGGCGGGTATCATTGCATGTGCAACGAAGATGGCTTATTTCAGATGTTTATCCTGACGCGCACTTCGTTTTGGGAAGCGAGGGGCCAGCTTTCGTTTGCTGTGTTTTCTGTGAGCACATGCAGTTCATAGAGCTCAGGGCAAGTCCAGTAAGAAAGCATGTCTAGGGCTTGGGGCTTTTTAAATCTTCTTTTTCCCCTTCAAACTGGCAAACTGCAGTGTGCTGTGCCACCATTGCAGTCCCTGCAATTTCACAAATTAAGTGAAAGGCATCTTGTCCCCAGTTCTCTCTGCATAAAGTATGCAACTCAAAGAAAAAAATAGTTTACAAAAATCCTGTCCTCCCTTCTGTGCTTTCAGATGAAAAAAAGAAAAAATCACAGATTGTGTCGTTTTGAAGAGAGATCTTCATGGTCTGCTCTTCCAACTTGTCTGGAATTTTTTAATAACATTTTGAACAAAGAGTTCAGGGAAAAATCTTACAAAGTGGCACCGGCAGAGCTGGGCACGAATGGGAACTTTTTCCCCATGAACTTCTCAGCCTGAGTGATGCTGAACCTGTCCTCGCCCTCCCACAAACCACCCTGCTCGGTGGAGTGCCTCGGGGGAGGCACTGCGGGAAGGGCTGTGAAAGGAAATTGTCTGCTTGGGCAGGAGGTTCTGCCTGTCTCCTGCCTCCGTGTGAGAAGCCGATGGGAGCAGGATTAGTGCTGGCTGTCCTGGGGGCCGTCAGCGAGACCTGGCTTCAGACACGGGACAAGGAGGAAACCCCTGGGATCACTGGACGCTGCTACAGCTCTAACAAGCTCTTAAGTGCAATTACATCCAGCGCTGATGGCATATTGAATCTGATCCTGACTGCTGGCCTCGACCGCAATTGGTTCATAAATGAAACTGGGGCCAATGGCTCCAGAGTCGGGTGATGCTCTCGGAGCCTCCAGAGAAATAAAACAGCTGGGAAAAAAGATGCAATACAACTGCGAACAAATCACCGCCCGCCTACTCTGGGGCTGTGAGCCGGGGGCTGCGTGCAGCCCCCCTAGCAGTGCCAGATGGTCACAGGTGGGGGCAAAAGCTGGGGACTCCCAGCTGAGGCCACGGTGGGTGCGGGGGGTGGCCTGAGCAGGGCTGCAGCGGAGGGACATAGCACACGGGGGCTGGGGCGCAGGGGGGGGGAGAGCACCCACAGAGCTGCTCACTGCAAAGAATTTCTATATGCGTGTGCCGTTGGTAGGACTCTTGAGTTAATAGCCCAAACGACCTGGGCAAGCCTATATTATCTGATTAAACTTCAGTGCAGCAGCAGCACTGGTGGGGCGGGAATGCCAGGATCCTGTGGCCCTGGGCAGGGAGCTCCCGCAGCACAGGCAGGAGGGGAGGCAGAGCGGGTTCACGCCATGGGAGGGATAGGAAATGTGGGGTACAGGGCTGTAAGATAGCAAGCAGGACATGGATTGGGGGTGAAGGCGGATGAATGAGCAGGAAGAGCATGGCAGCATGGCTTCCTCCTGCAGCACCGCAGCTCGGTCGCCTCTCTGCTCCTTCTCTGCAGCACACAGTGCTGGGGGGACGTGCCAGTGCCTGAGAGGGTGTGGGGGCTGCAGGTAAGTGTTGTGTAATACACTGACTTCTTTTTTTTCCTTTTGCTTTGCAGGACACAAAGGAAATTGCTCTGTCACTTGAAATGGCTTTGCACATCCTTTAACAACAAACCAGGGAAAAATGATGCTTGGACTGGAGCTTTTCAGGCTGAGTCCAGAGAATCATTTGCCCTTGAAGCAGCCAGAGCAGGAGGAGAGCAATGCTCATGGGCGGCGAGAATGAGCCATCCATCAGCACTGGCCGGCAATAAATAGTGCGCATGTACAGCGTGGGGTGTGAAAATGCCTGTTCCCTGCCCACTCCCGAATGCACAGGAGACAAGTAACCGATGGCCAGGTCAGTCAAGTTTAGGACCACGGCAGTTTATAGCCTAGAGTAGGAGGACAAGAGTTATTCTCTTCGCCCCTGTATTTTAGCCACATTTACCCGCTTTCAGCACAAGAGATTTGTTGTTTGCTGCTGTGAGGGATGGCACCCGTGGGAAGGAAAGTGCGGCTTTGGGAAGGGTGCTGTGCCTGTGGGGTGAGTTTTGCTGCCGAGATGCAAACGTCGCCAGCCCAGCTTGGGGCTGCCGCGCTCTGCGCCTTGCAGAGCGCATCCCCATGGGGATGTCCATCTCACCCTTAGAGAAGGGAGGGTGCTGCCAACCCAGAGCCCTGCAGACAGCGGGTGTCCTTCACCCCAGTGTGCCTCAGAGCCTG